TTAAGTGTAAAACATAAAGCTTTGGAGGAAAAAAAATCATAGAAAATCTTCTGAACCTAGGGCTTGGCGAAGTGTTCTTTGATTTGACACCAAAAGCACAATCCGTAAGAAGGAAAAAGTTGATAAGTTGGCTTTCATCAAAATTAAACATCTTTGCTCTGGGAAAGACCCTGTCGAAAAGATGAAAAGACAAGCTACAGAGTGGGAGGAAATATTGGCAAACCACATATCTGACAAAGGACTACTATCTAGACCATATAAAGAACTCTTAGAATTCACCAGGTAAACAAACAATCTAATTAGAAAATGAACAAAAGACGTGAAAAAAACATTTCAGTAGAGAGAATATAAGATGGGAAATAAGCATTTAAAAGGATGTTCAACATCACTACCCATAAGGAGAATGCAAATTAAAACAATGAGGTATCCCTACACACATCTGTCAGAGTGGCTAAAATACAAAAGTTACTGCAGCAACGCAGAACAGGATATGGAGGACTGGACCACTTGTACATTGCTAATGGGAGTGTAAAATAGTTCAGTCACTCTGGAAGATAATTCAGTAGTTTCTTTTTTTTTTTTTTTTTTTAAGATTTTATTTATTTATTTGACAGAGAGAGACACAGCGAGAGAGGGAACACAAGCAGGGGGAGGGGGAGAGGGAGAAGCAGGCTTCCCGCTGAGCAGGGAGCCCGATGCGGAACTCGATCCCAGGACCCTGAGATCATGACCCGAGCCGAAGGCAGACGCTTAACGACTGAGCCACCCAGGCACTCCAAAAGTATAACATTCTTGAAATGACAAAATGGAGTCCCTTTATCGGGGACCAAGAAGGGGTTGGGGGAAGGGAAACATGAGGGATCCTTGTAATGGGAATGTTCTGTATCTTGATTGTATCAATGTCAATGTTCTGGTGGTTCTATTGTTACTATTATTTTACAAAATGCTACCATTGGGAAAAGCTGAGTAAAGGGCACACCTGACCTTTCTGTTTTATTTCTTATACATATGAATCTACAATTTACTTTAAAATGTGTGGTATAACACAGGGAAAATGATAAAAGCCGCTTTCCCTTCCTTATAGGGACCAGAAAGAAAAGGCCAAGCAGGAGGCACTGTATGGCTGTGTTTCTGGACCCTGATGAATCAGTTCCTGGTTTTGCCTCCATCGGGGGACTCCAAGTGGGGTGAGAGAGGGAGGGAGTGGAAGAAAAACACTGAATAAGAAATTTGGGGATCTAGTTCTCACTCCACTATCAACTGAACAAGTCTCATAAATGTCGACGGCTTCAATTCGACTCAATGTAACATTCACTGGGTACCAAGGACAGTGACAAGAGGGGCTGGGGGTAGTGGCAAGCCTTTAACCCACATCTATATTAACACCCTCCCCCCAATAAAGTAACACTCTTTGTTACAGAATACTGACATTTTCTTAATTTGGGGCATAATGTACAATGTAAGTAAAAAATAGGGTCTTAGATGCAAACATAGGATCAAGAAAATACCCTGGATAAACTCCACCCCCTCCCCCACAAGACTGCCACCCTTCACTGGCTCTTGATCACTAGGATCTAGTCTGTGTAATATGTTATACGGATTGAGGCTAAAGAAAGTTAACAGGATTCTCATAATCTGATTAGTAGACACTTAACAAACATCTGTGTGCACCAAACATCTTCTAGGCACTTCACATTACATACATTACCTCCTTTAATCCTCACAACCCTGTGTGGTAGCCACTATTATCCCCATTTTACAGATGTGGAAACCAAAGTTCATGGGGAAAAGGTAACTTGACATACAGCTTGTAACTGGTATCAGGAACTGACAATAAATTCTTTTCACTATATACTACGTTGCTTCTAATTCTTTAGAGGATATTTATCTTCTGTACTGTGCTAATCTTTCCCAATTTTCTAAAATCATTGTTTTTAACAAAGACAAACAGGTTTTTTTTTTTTTCTTTCTTTAAGGCAAAGAGAGCAAGAAGGCATTATTAAAATACACTGGACTTCACACATTTGAAAAATCATCTGAGGTCATTTTTCCCAATAGCTTGATTGAGATATAATTTACATAACATAAAATTTATCCTTCACTCATTTTAAGTGTACAATTCAAAGGACTTTAGTCTATTTACCAAGTTGTACACTACATCACAAACTAATTTCAGAGCATCTCCCTCTGCCTAAACAGAAATGCAAATGATAAATTATTGAACACTACATCTGAGACTAATGATGTACTATATGTTGGCTAATTGAATTTAAATAAATAAAAAACCCAGAAACCTCATGCTATATTCACTCTGCATTCCCACTTAACCCACTCATCTGTGTAGATTTGCCTTTTCTGAACCCTTCGTATAAATGAAATCATACTATATGTATTTTGCATCTAGCTTTTTTCATTTAGCATAATGTTTTCAAGGTTCATCATAGCTGAAGAGTATTCCATTGTATGGATATATCCCACATTTCTAACCACCTTTTTTTTTAATCCATCAGTTGATGGACTTTTGGGGGGTAGTGGTAAGCTGTTGTTTCTACTTTTTGGTTACTGTGAACAATGCTGCTATGAACATTTGCATATGGACAAATGTTTTCATTTCTTCTGGGTAGATACCTAGGACTGGAGTTTTTAAGGAACTGCCAGGCTGTTTTCTGAAGTGGCTGCATCATTTTACATTCCCACCAGCCATGTATGAGAGTTCCAATTTCCCCACATCCTCACCAACACTGACTATTGTCTTTTTATTCTAGGATTCCAGTGGGTGAGAAATAGTATCTTGTTATGGTTTGTTTTTTTTTTTAAAGATTTTTTATTTATTTTTGACAGAGAGAGACATAGCGAGAGAGGGAACAAAGCAGGGGGTAGTGGGAGAGGGAGAAGCAGGCTCCCCGCGGAGCAGGGAGCAAGGCAGACGCTTAACGACTGAGCCACCCAGGTGCCCCTCTTGTTATGGTTTTGATTTGCATTTACCTAATGACTAACCATGTTGAGTGTCTTTTCATGTATTTATTGGTCACTGTATATCTTCTTTGGAGAAACAGCTATTCAAATCCTTTGCCCATTAAAAAAAATAGACTTTATTTTTTTGAACAGTTTTAGGTTCACGGCATAATTGAGTGGATTGTACAATGATTTCCCATATACCCTTACCCCTCAACCCCAGACTCCCCTGTTATCAACATCCCCCTACCAGAGTGGTGCCTTTGTTACAACTGATGAACCTCCATTGACACACCACTGTCATCCAAAGCCCACAGTTTACATCAGGGTTCACTCTATGGGTTTGGACAAACGTATAATAACAGATATCAACCACTACAGTATCACACAGTCTATTCATTCCTTGCTCCCTCCCCCCAGCCCCTAGCAACCAATGATCTTTTTATTGTCTCCACAGTTTTGTCTTTTTCTGTTATGCCATAGAACTAGAAGTATACCGCATACAGCCTTTTCAGATCGGCTTTTTTCACTTAGTAATATCCATTTAACTTTCCTCCATGTCTTTTTTTTTTAAGATTTATTGATTGATTTTAGTGGGGGAGGAGAGGGGAAGAGAGAGGGAGAGTCTTAAACAGATCTCTCTCTCTCTCATTCTGTCTCAAATAAATAAATAAAATCTTTAAGAAAAAAAGATTTTATTTATTTATTGGAGGGAGAGAGTGAGAGAGAGCATGAGAGGGGAGAGGGTCAGAGGGAGAAGCAGACTCCCCGCTGAGCAGGGAGCCCGACATGGGACTCGATCCTGGGACTCCAGGATCATGCCCTGAGCCGAAGGCAGTCGCTTAACCGACTGAGCCACCCAGGCGCCCGATAGCTCATATCTTTCTAATGCTAAAGAATATTCCATTGTGTGGATATACAAAAGTTTATTTATCCATTCACCTCCTGAAGGACATCTTGGTTGCTTCCAAGTTTTGGCAAATATGAATAAAGCTGTTATAAATATCCGTGTGCAGGTTTTTGGGTGAATAGAAGTTTTCAACTCCTTTGGGTGAAGACTGAGGAAAGTGATTGCTGGATCATATGGGAAGAGCATGTTTAGTTCTGTTAAGAAATTGCCAAACTGACTTCCAAAGTGGCTGTCTGATTCTTCATTCTCACCAGCAATGACAGAGTTCCTGCCATTGAGTTTGTCACCTTTGCTTTTTTTTTTTTTTTTAAACTAGGCTCCATGCCCAACATGGGACTTGGACTCATGACCCTGAGATCAAGAGTCAGATGCTCTACCTACTGAGCCAGCCAGGTGCTCCATCTTTGCTTGTTTTTAAATCGGGCTATTTGTCTTTTTATTACTGAGTTGTAAGAGTCTTTGATGTATTCTAGATACAAATACTTTATGGAATATATGATTTGCAAATATTTTCTCCCAGTTTGTGGGTTGTTTTGGAGGCCATTTTTTTTTTTTCAATGAAAAGGAATGTTAAGCACTAAATTCATGATAGTGGTTACTCCTGGAGGAGGCAGGAGCGTGTATGGGGTTAGAATTAGACAGATATGATGACGTAGGTGCTGTGAGAGGTAGAGCACAGACTCCAGGGCCAGCTACCTGAGTCTCAAGCCAACCCTGTCAAGTAACTTCGTCTCTCTGTGTCTCAGTTTTCTCATCTGTAAAATGGGTCTAATAGTGCTTATCCCACAGGTGTGTTGTGATGCATGTGTTCATATGCCTGGACCCTACACCACCTGTCTCCTGGGGTGCTAACAGAACCTCTCTGATCCATGAGATTAAAGACCAGATAAAATGGTCTAGTGCGCCTAGTGCGCGGCCTGCCCTGCGTTAGCTGTTATTTCTGCCTTAGCAGCTCCGGGCCGCCCGGGATGGTCAGAGGCAACCTCAGTAGAAAAATGCCAGCAACGGAGGGGATACCCGGGATGGCCGAAGCAAGGCTCCTTGCAGCTCCACATTTCTGGGCTGCTTTTCACAGAGGTCCACAGGTTAGGATGAAAACGTTCTTGTCTAAAACGGGGCTGATGATAGAACCTACCTCCCCGGGATGTGGAGAAGCGCCAGGAAGCCAACGGCCAGGAAAGCGCTTTGGCAGCTACACAGCGTTTCCGAAGAGTTGGTGTATTGGGGAAATAAAGAAAAAAATGTTGCAGCAGAAAAATCACACAGGGGCCAGGCCAGCGCCAAGGAAGCCCAGGCGCCATGCGGGGCTTCCGCCGCTCCTGGGGACCCGCGGCCCCCGCCCGGGGAAAGCGACCCGCGAAGCTCTGCGAGGCCCGCGCGCCCACCGGCGCAACCAAAGGAGCGCGGCGAGCCGGTGGCCGGCGGGACGCTGGGGGACTCCAGGCTGCTGCTCCGCGGCCAGTCTGGCGCTCGAGCGTCCCCTGGCGGCACGGTTGGGCCACGGTTAGGACCACCAACGGCTGAGCCGGGGTTTCCGCACCTGGGCATGCGCAGCTCCCAGCGGCCATTTCCCCCCAGAGATGGAGGCCTCCCAGCCATTCAGAGAGCCCCACAGCTATCCTCCCGCCTACCCGTGGCGCTTAGGGGCGTGGCTTTCATTTTTAGCCAATGACAAAAGACTTTCGTCCTTCGGCCGCCCTAGCGGAAGGTGGTTTGTTTAGCAAGATGGCGGCTAGCGGCCTCCGGCGGGCTGCTGCTGCGGCTCCCACTTCAGTGAAGCCCATTTTTAGTCGGGACATGAACGAAGCCAAGCGGAGGGTGCGCGAGTTGTACCGCGCCTGGTATCGAGAGGTGCCGAACACTGGTGAGAGGCCGCGACGCCCGCGGGGTTCCGGATGCAGCCGCCCAAGGTCGCAGCCGTCCTGGCCTCCCATTTCTCCCGGGACGAGCTGAGGTCACCGACTTGGGCACAGGCGACTCCGGGTGCTTCAGGGGAGGAGGGTCACCCGAGCATTGGTGGACCCGACCCGGCGGCGGCGCCCGACTCAAACAAGCCGTGCTCTGCAACCGAACCAAGCTCCTAGGAGCCCTGGGCGCGTTGGCCCTTTTGTCCCCCGCAATGCTTAACGAACCCGTGGGAGGGAGAGTAGGGGCTGTGGATGACGTGCTCATTTTATAGGTGAGGCATGTGAGGCACCTAGAGGCGGGGTGATACCCCCGAGGCCCGGAGCCAGCCCTTGATGGATCTGGAACCCAAAGTCAGCCGTAGAGTTCCTGAATGTATTTACAGGTGCCCATTAGGTTATATAAACAAAGTGGCTGTAGGACTTGAGCGGTCATCTGTTTCCCACGTCTCCCACAGAAAAACAGACCACCAGAGAAGGGAAGTGACTTTCCCAAGGTCATCCAGTTAAGTCAGTGGTGCCTTTTTCCAGTCCAGGTGAGATGGCCTCCTCCCACATCCAGTTTCCCAAGCTTGCTCCCTAGCTCTACCTGTCTCTCCTATTTCTTAGGAACTCATCCCCTCCCCCCAATGGCCTGCCCCCTACTGACTCGCTGTCCCTTGCCTTCACTTAGATGTCCAAGAACCAATCTATTCACTGGAAGGATTGAAATACAAGGTCCCTGGATGCGGAGATTCTGTTTTCTTATCTTGGCATTCCCCCTCAGCACTGCCCAACGTCTCTGATGAGAGGAAGATTGGGGGGAAATCCCACCTAAACTGCCAAGGACCGTACAAATGTCAGGGGCTGTCGATATTTTGTTGTTTTGTTGACTGATTGTGTTTTAATGTGGACTGTCACTGCGCGTCTCAGAGGGAAGGTGTTTTTATTTTTATTTATTTTTTTAAAGATTTTATTTATTTATTTGACAGACAGCGAGAGAGGGAACACAAGCAGGGGGAGTGGGAGAGGGAGAAGCAGGCTTCCCGCGGAGCAGGGAGCCCGATGTGGGGCTTGATCCCAGGACCCTGGGATCATGACCTGAGCCGAAGGCAGATGCTTAACGACTGAGCCACCCAGGCGCCCAGAGGGAAGGTGTTTTTAAAAAGTGAGCTAGAGCACCATAGCTGTGGGCTGTCACTTCCCTGCCTGTGTGTGAGAAGCAATAGAATGTGGTAGTTACAGAGACTTGCCTCCAGACCTTGCCCCCTTACTAGCTGTGTGACCTTGAGCAAATTATTCTATCTTGCTATGCCTCAGTTTCCTCATCTGTAAAATGAGCATCATGATAGTATCTTCTTCAGAGAGTAGCCCTTATTAAATAGGTAATATTTCTAAAGTGCTGAGGGTAAGCCCTGGCACTTAATTAGGTACTCATTGAATGTTGGCTGCTACTGTTGTTTTTATTATGATGATTATTATTAATTATTACTGTTACTTTATTTTTTTTTAAGGTTTTATATATTTGACAGAGAGAGAGAGATAGCAAGAGCAGGAACACAAGCAGGGGGAGCAGGAGAGGGAGAAGCAGGCTCCCCACGGAGCAGGGAGCCCGATGCGGGGCTTGATCCTAGGACCCCGGGATCATGACCTGAGCTGAAGGCAGATGCTTAACGACTGAGCCACCCAGGTGCCCCTAATTATTACTGTTATTTATAGCAGGAGCATCCGTGCAGAATCCAGTTTTTTTGATGTGTGAGAACTGTCTGCTCCACTGTGTCCCTATCCTGAACCTGACTTGTTGAGAGGTTGCTCATGACCAGAACTTAGACCCCGAGATACAAGGGAGGGAGAAACTTAAGTGAACTGCTGGTTCAGGGACTGCAAACTTACATGCCTTTAGGGGACAAGTGGATAATAGGTATAGGGAAGTGACAGTAGCAAGTGTCTGCATTTGTGTGTTTGGGGCAGGGGAGGGGTGTGTATTCAATTGGAGATGTTTAAAAACAGAACGTTTGCCTAGCAGAATACTGCTATGAGTGCCCAGAACCCTTTCTTGTTGCAGAGAGGAGTAGAAGGTAGGGAACAAGACCCAGGTGCAGGAAGAATGGTTTGCGAAGGGTTAAAAAAAAAAAATCAGTGGCTGAGTTGAGGATAGACCCAGTTATCCACAGTCAGGACCCAGAAGTTTTTAAACTATCCCCTCTCAGGAATTCCCCTCAAATACTGTTTGAGAAGATTATTCCAGAGACAGAAGGGTCCTGAAAGGGGTGGAGGAGAGGAGGTGGGGAGGGTCAAAGGGGTGGCACCTCCCTTATGGGGAGGATTGGTGGTCTGTAGCTGGTTGTCTGTAGGTGGTCAGTTGCTCAGGCCTCTGTCTACACTGGTGTCATGCTGTCTGTCACTGGGACTCCAGCTGAGGAACCAAACCAAGAATTGGGAATAGTAATAGTATTTCTAATAACTAACATTTATTTATTTATTTATTTTTAAAGATTTTATTTATTTGACAGAGAGAGAGACAGTGAGAGAGGGAACACAAGCAAGGGGAGTGAGAGAGGGAGAAGCAGGCCTCCCGCGGAGCAGGGAGCCCGATGCGGGGCTCGATCCCAGGACCCTGGGGTCATGACCTGAGCTGAAGGCAGATGCCCAACGACTGAGCCACCCAGGCGCCCCTAATAACTAACATTTATTGAATTGCATACATACGGCCCAGCACTATGCTAAATGCTTCACATTGCCTTATTTGAGGGTGGGTTCTAATTGTGTCCTTGTCTTACAGATAAGAAAACTGAGGCATATAAATGTGTCTCCTCACACCATTAGTAAGGAGAGGAGCCAGACTTCAGACCCTGACTATCCGACTGTCATACCTGGCCCTTTGCTCCTGCTCTAGTTTTCCCCGAATCTCCTGGGGCCCAGTTACGCTACACGTGTATGGCAGCCATTTGCCGGGATGGTGGCTGCCTTGCGTGGGGGCACGGAGACAGAACTGCCTTCCTTCGAATCCCTCCGCTGAAAAAGTATTACATGAGGCTTGCTGGTTACAAAACGGGATTTTCTGTTGAAACTATTCCTTTAATTTCCATTTCACTGGGTATATCTCTTGTACAACAGGGCCGGTACGAGATGCCCAGAGATAGAAAAGTGAATAAAACAACCCTGCCCTCGGGCTTTATGGTCTAGTCAGGAAGACAGGCATATATCCGGATGGGGAGTAAGGGTTGAGATGTTTAACGTTTATAGTAGCTTTACTGTTTACGAGATGTTGTCACTCGATTTTTGCCATGTTCCTGTAAAGGAATTAGGTCTGAGGTTCTCTTCTTTCCTATTTTTTAGCTGAGGAAACAGGCTGAGGAGGCTATACCCTAGTCAGGGTCATAGTTCATAACGGTGAGGGGACCTTACAGCTGGTTTGACCCCTGACCCCACGCTCTTCTCCAGTACACCGTGCCGCCTTCCCATCTCAGGATCTCCCAGTGCCTGGTACGGATGCTCCCAAAATGAATGGGAGCAAACAGCTGAGAATATCAGTGTCATCCCTCTTATTGTGACAGAGCCTTCCTGACTCAGGAAAACCTTGACAGTAATTTTGGAAAAACACACAGAGCCTGTGGGAAAGGCACCTTCATCCAAGAGGGGCACTTTGATACCTTCCTTTTGAGCCTCTTAGATTTTTTCAAAATTGCAATTTAAATATTCAGAATTCAAAGAATAAGCCAAGAAACAGAGTTGAGAAAAAGCAGTTGGAATTAATTTATACCAGGGTTTCTCAACACATTTGTGCTGGATGATTGTGGGGGCGGTCCTGTGCATTGTAGGATGTTTAACAACATCCCTGGCCTCTATCCACTAGATGCCAGTAGCACTCTCTCCCTAGTTGTGACAACCCCAGATGCCTGCAGACACTGCCGGATGTTCTGGTGGGCAAAGTCATAGCTGGCTTAAGAACCACTGAGTTAAACCAAAGCAGGTGGTAGCTTAGGCTGTTGCTGTTTCCTTTCCCACAGCCCTTCTCACTGGAGGAGGGGCATGTTCAGAGGGTTGGGGTGGGAGGAGGGAGATGAGGACAAAGCTATGGAATTTGTCTCTCGAGAGACAAGAAGGGCTCCTAACCTGGGAGGATGGGCACTCAGGAATCTATGAACTGACATTGTAAGCAGAACTTGGCATTTGCGCCTGTGAACATGTTCCTGAGGAGGAGACTCGCACACCCAGTGCCCTGGTGTGCAGTTCTGGAAATCGTGAGGAATGGGAGCAAATGGACACCAGCTCCGCTAGTAGATAGAGGGACCTTGCTTTTTTTAAACTCCCAAGGTTGGGCAGGGATCTAATACAAAAATGCAGGAAAGGTAAACACTGATAGCAGGAGAAGAGTCCTTATATTCATTTCTTTTAAAAAGCACCAGATTGGAAATTAAAAATAACCAACCTGAATTCCAGGCCCACACTTGCCCCTGGCAATAGTATGACCTCAGGCAAGTACCCACAGCGTGGGAGGCCTCACTCTCCCCAAATGGGAGGATTCTAAATTCCAGGATCCTTGTTAGTTTGCACTTGTTTTTGTGTCTCTTTGTCTTATGGTCCCTTTATTTGCTCTTTTCTAAAATTCCTACTATGAGGGGCACCTGGCGTCTGACTCTTGGTTTCGGCTCAGGTCAAGATCTCGGGGTTGTGGGATCAAGCCCTGGTATAAGGCTTCCCACTCAGTGGGGAGTCTGCTTCCCCTCTCCCTCTGCGCCTCCCCCTGTTCTCTCTCTTTCTAAAATAAAAAATAAAATCCCTACTAGGATACGGACTGTGGTGGGAACCCAGATTTACAGCTTTGACCAATTTTCTGGGGTCTGGTACTCCCACCATGGTTGATTTTAAGCTACCGAAGTGAGTGAAGGCAGATTTGGGAAGAGAGGCTCCATGAGAGCCTGCTCCAGCATTCCACTGGATCCTGAGTTCTTTCCAGTGTGAGTGAGTTTCTGTCCTCTGTTAACACTTACCTGTAAAGCTGGGCTGTGGTTTCTCCTGTTAGATTTCTGCTATTGCTTATTCCCTGCTGGGATCAGCACAGCATGGTATTTTCCTCAACAGAAGCTTTATTTTTCTATGGTATTTCCCTCAGCAGAAGCTTTATTTTTCTTTCTTTTTTTTTAGAGATGTGATTTTTTTTTTTTTTAAGATTTTATTTATTTATTTGACAGAGACAGAGCGAGAGAGGGAATACAAGCAGGGGGAGTGGGAGAGGGAGAAGCAGGCTTCCCGCCGAGCAGGGAGCCCGATGCGGGGCTCGATCCCAGGACCTGGAATCATGACCTGAGCCGAAGGCAGACGCTTAACGACTGAGCCACCCAGGCGCCCCAGAAGCTTTATTTTTCTATTGGTCACTAAATTGAGTATAGATAAAGATTCAAACTTTATTGTCGATTCACTCAGTCACTCCATAGCTCTCATGGTGTTCAGACTGGTTCTGATAATTCTGTAGATCAGAGTGGACATGTCACAAGAATGGCCAAAACACAGGGCGTCCTCACCAAATGATCACACAGGTCTCCCCAGCCACATGCTCATTCTAGCCTATGAGCCTTATTTATGCTGTCCTCTCAACCTAATGTGCCCCGTCTTCCTAATCCCGCCTACCACACAAGGCCCTGTTCATGCCCTCGTTGTCATCAGCAAGTCCACTGAAGGCTGACTGCCAGAGGATAGGAATGCAAATGACTAAAACCTAATTTACAAAGGACATATATGTGCCTCATCTGAAGTCCTGGGTCCCTAAGGCTGTGCCACTCTTTTAGGCATCTGCTTAGCCAGGGATTGCTGAATATTGTGATTTTATGTTTGCATTTGTGGATGGTTGCCCCTCGGATCGGAATTTGAGAGACTAGGAGTTACATCGTAGACTGCTCCCTCCTTCCCCCGAGTAACCGGACGTGGTCGTAATCGCTGGCTGGACTGAAGCCTGCCTTCCCTGCACACTCAGCAGTCTCCCTCAGCCCTAAGTTTGTGTGCTGCACACACCTACACCATGTCATTGCTTGTTAACTTCAATCCCGTCATCTTTTGCCAGTTGTTCTATATGATAATAATGCTCACATTTTTGAGAGCTTTTTCCATGCTGGCACTGTTCTAAGCATCTTGTCTCATCTCATGGAATCCTCCCAACAGCTCTGGAGTTATGTGCTGTTATCATCCTCCTTTCCCTCAGAAACAAATACAGCCCGGCACAGAGAAGTCCGCAGGATCACATGGGTGATGTGACAGCTGGGATTTGAAGCCAGGTTGTTCATACTCTTAAACTGTGCTATACTCTTCTTCGAATACGGCGGTCTTGTCTCTTCAAACTGTAAGCTCCTTGAGAGCAGGCGCCACGTCTCACTCCTCCACAGCCTCAAGCACCTAGCTTAGGGTCAGGCTAGTAATATTTGCTGAATGAAATGAATGGGCAACCTGTATGTGTTCAATGACTATCAGTTGACTCAACTTTTGTAAAACAGGTTTTAACCATGTAATTTCTACCCTGAATCATGTCTTTAGTGAACTTGTTCCAGCTAGACATCACCGTGCAGCAAGGACGGGATAAAGTCCGAGAAATGTTTATGAAGAATGCCCACGTCACAGACCCCAGGGTGGTGGATCTTTTGGTCATTAAGGTAACTGACCGTCCCTGACTGACTTAAGAGCAGCCAACTTGTCCAGAGCTCCTCAATTTTGTCTCCCAAGTTTAAAAAGCAACTACTAGGTCAGTAACTTTTGCTTAGTGTTTCAAAGAACCCGTGAACTTAGAGGTTATCACCTGATTAAATATAAGATTGTTAAAGAGAAAACAAAACCCACCGGGGCTTGCATTTTTATTTTTATTTATTTTTTAAAGATTTTATTATTTGAGAGCGAGTGCGCACGCATGAGCGGGCAGAGGGGCCAACGGAGAGGGAGAAGCAGACTCCCTATGAGCACAGAGCCCAACACGGGGTTCGATCCCAGGATCCTGAGATCATGACCTGAGCCAAAGGCAGACACTTAACCGACTGAGCCACTGCAGTGCCCCAGGGCTTGTATTTTGAAAAAAGACATCAGGAGGGAAGTTTGAAATTCTTCTTGAACCTCATTCCTAGAAGTTACTGCTTCACCAGGTTGCAGCTGGAAGAGGCAGGCTAGTTAGCTGAGTCCTGTGTAAATGGGGTCAAATCCCAGGCCTGACTGTGTTATCTCTGGTCAGTCACATTAGCATCAGTGCGAACTTTAGCTTGGACTAGTACTTACCACGGGAGGAATGTTTAGCAGAAACCAAGTTAAGCCAGTTAGGTTAGGCAGTCATGGGGCAGGGGCCTATTGACCTGGAAGTCTCTCCTCTTGGGCTCAGTTAGCTACAGAGTTAAAGAGTATTTGAAAGGCTGCAGAGATCAGTTAGCCCAACCACCTCATTTTCCAGATGCAGAAACTGTGGTACTGACAGAGGATGTTACTTGCCCCAGGTGACTCAGTAAGTTGGTGCCAGAGCAGAGAACAGAATCCTGGCCTTCAGTGTCGTGTTCCTTCCCCTCGGCCACTCTGACTGAACACCTCTCTCCTCACTTGTGCAGGGAAAGATGGAACTGGAGGAAACGATTAATGTATGGAAGCAGCGGACACACGTCATGCGGTTCTTCCATGAAACAGAAGCACCGAGGCCAAAGGATTTCCTGTCCAAGTTCTATGTTGGCCATGACCCGTGAATTCACTCAGGGAAAAGGTGCATGTTGATATTTATAAATATTTTAGAGCACAAATAAACTCAGTATGTGATGGTCACTTCCTAATAGAATTCCACTGGTGAGCCAATGGGAAGTTCCTCTTCTGCAGTCTGTCTCACTTTTTGCCTGAACAAGTGGGGTCTTTAGTATACACACCACCTGTTCTTTCCCTTCCCTGAAGTGTGGTGTTTCCTGTAAATTAGATTCTCTTTTCTCAGAGCCTTGCATGTCAGTAAACCGGAAGGATGAGGCCATCTGCTCAGAAACTATCGTTCTGGCTATTGGGCTGGATGACTTTGTTGAGAGAGAGAGAGAGGGTGGGGAGAGGGTCAGAGGGAGAGAGAGAATCTTAAGCAGGCTGCACGCCCAGCGCAGAGCCCCACTCGGGGCTCGATCTCCCGACTCTGAGATCACAACCTGAGCCGAAATCAAGAGTTGGATGCTTCACCGACTGAGCCACCCAGGCACCCCAATTTAGCCGTGTTTCTACAGCCCCCAGGATTTGCTTGGTGTCACAGCACAGATTATCCAGAATTCGCCAGGGCTTGCCGTCAGAGATCAGAGCAACGCTAGGATGCACAGAAGTACAGCTGCCAAGCTGGGCCGTTCCTCCTGGGTTCTGAAGAGGCCTCGCCTGCCTACCTGCAACAGGCACGTCCTGAATGAAAGTAACTTCCTACCCAGTTAGGTACTCTGCTAGGAACACTGTTGTTTAGTGCACACAGAACAGAAATATTTCTACTGTTTGTGCAAACCGGGCTATAGCTCCAGTGACAGGGGAATAAATGTTGACACAGGTTGAAGAACTCATCTCTGCTCTCGATGGTTCTTTCCCCAGACAGTCTAAATGCTGGAGAGAGGGGTTCAGGATCTGTAGGTAGTCACCCTGAGCGTTCCCAGATTTTTCTGCACCACCAACCCCTTTACTATCTTTTCATCTAAGGAACCCAAGTGTTGACAGATTCATCCTAATAACGATGTTTCTCCTGGAGTTTTAAACAGTCACAGCTTATGACTGGTAATATGATAACTCGCCAGTGTTCCTCAACACAAAAAAAGCTTGAGGCTTTAGTTATCCTGTGCATCTTTACTGAGGGGAAAGTTTCTGCTGGGCTTTTGTAAATAATGGAAATAGGTCCCAGGTGCCTGTAACTGCCTTTGTGGATCCAGGGGGGGCCTGGAAATCTTCGGCTGTAAGTCAAAGGCCTGTCCATTCAGCTGCTAGAGAAAGGACTGCAGGGACAAGAAACTGCAGCCGGGGTCACTCCTATTGAGACACTTCAGCCACCACGCAGTCATACAGAGCTGATGTTTATCATGTTTATTCATAAGCTGATTATGCTCAGTGGACAGCACATTTCTGGGAACCTCCCAGAGCCTGGGGATCTGGGCTATGGTCACAGATGGTGCAGGAGGCTTCACTGGTGTTGGGAGGCTGAGGGCTTTCCCTGGGCCCTTCTGACAGGGAAGCAGGAGAGGCTGTGAGCATCACCATCATAATTAAGTTAGGGCTGTCTCCTTTCTGTACCTCCTCCGTGTCCTGTAAGAAAGGAAAGCAGCAGTGAACTGGGCTCAGAGCAGCCCTCTATCCACATACCAGAAAGAGCATTCCAGAGAGGTTCTACCAAACAAGGCAGGAGCAAAGCAGTTTGCTTATTCATTCACACATTTAATGAAGAGTCATCGGAGACCAGGCACTGGGGGCCCAAAGGTATAAAAAACATGTTGCCGGGGGGCGCCTGGCTGGCTCAGTTGGTGAACATGCAACTCTTGGTCTTGGGATCGTGATTTCAAGCCCCACGTTGGGTGTAGAGCTTACTTAAAAACAAACAACCATGGGGGCGCCTGGGTGGCTCAGTCGTTGAGCACCTGCCTTCGGCTCAGGTCATGATTCCAGGGTCCTGGGATCGAGCCCCGCATCGGGCTCCCTGCTC